TTTATATAATTTTATTTTTATACATAATATTATATGACAATATTTATATATATATATAATATTACTAATTTATATCAATTTAAATATATACATATTTTAATTGCTGAACTGATCTTAAAGACTCCATGAAATGTTTTTTTGTTGATTTATTTTCTACTGAAATATTTTTTTTAATCAGCTTTTAGGTGATCTAGAGAGCATTGTATTGATCTGAGCGTTGAGTTTTACCTCCGTCTCACTGAACTCCTTCGGTTTCGAGTGATAAATCTTGGCAATCTGATTTCCAGTGAAGCGCTGGTGAGCAAATACACAAAACATTAAGAGACTGTGAACTTAGATGAATGTAATTACAGTACAGGACGGGGTTAAACGCACCTCGTACGCTCGTGAGCCGGTGATGTCTGCGAGGCGTTGAGCTCCTCCTACTGCCGTCTCCAGACACTGACACTGATCTGAAGTACTCGAGTCCATCCACACCGGACTGTCCCGCACCGCAAAACACTCCTGCACACACAACACACCGAGTATACAGATAGATATCAACACACAGAAGCAGTATGCATGCAATACAACTATACTATACTGTACTACAGAGTGTATTTTATGCTCCCACTTCCACAGGTGTGTGCATGATGTTATACATGTTTTCTGCTGCCCTGTTCAAGCAGATATCCATGAATCCGCTTCTGTCATACATCAGGTCAAGTATTAACCATTACCACTGGACGTTAGACCCTCGGCATCAGGACAGAGAGAAGGATCTCGGTTCAGAGAAGCTGATGTTGTGGTCACCTGTAACTGATGGTGTAGATGTTTCTGTGGGTCCAGCTGATTCAGGGTTCGTCTCGCACCCTTCCTCCAGAACACACTGCCATGTTGCTGAAACACACAGATGCATTAACATACAGACCCAAACTCAATCTGCAAGAACTCAATGCTACAGTGAAAACCCCATATGCCAAAAAAAAAAAAAACGTATATATATGATGTCTGCATCAAAAGAAATGTACAAAAGTGATTTTATGTCCATAGAAAGCACATTAAATGTAAGTAAAGTGTCTACTTTTAAGGTTTCAAATAAGTTTTTGGAGAATAAAATGTCAAAATTTGGTTGAAATAATGTTGCATCGTCATTCAGCGTAACACAATATTTATGTAAAAATTCAAACAACATGCTTACTGACCTGTACATATTAAAATATATAAAATAATAAGGGAGCATATTAAATTTTATTGTGTTTTAAATGAGTAAAAAGTCTTACTGACAAATGGGCAAAACCTAGGATCGTGGCACATTTTAAAAATTTAAAATTTCAACCAATTAGTATTTGGGGTGAAAGTAATTAGT